TCTCTCGATTGCCAAATGGAAAGATGTGAAACGAAGTAATAAGTTTCTAAATAAACCCATAATAGTACCACTGTAATTGAACTAGATAATTATACTCTTACTTGAACGTCTGGTTATGACGTTGATAAAATGAACATTCATCAAGTATTGTAATTGACCTACGTAATGTTATCTTACATGAACAGCCCCGGGAAATTGATCGGCAATACATGATCTCCTCTGAAGCAGCATGCAGTACAGTAATCCGTGGCTATTTCAAGCTTCACCTACCGCGGCTCTATTTTATCAACTGTTTTCAAAAAATCATTCGCGGATCTTCACCAGTTTGCCGGTTTCTGAAGAAGTCGATCTGCATACATAAATAGCCCCGGGAAATTGATCGGCAATATGAGTGTGCATGGGAAATGTTTGTAAAGATTTGAAATACTAAAAACTTACCGAACATTTTCAATACAAATACTCAAACAAGTACGTCCTATCAGTTGATCATTCCCCACCGAGCTTTCGCCTGTCGCGGCCAAGATGTGGATCGTAATACCCGCTGTAGATGAGGGAATTTTATACACAGTAAACTGTACGCTGTACAGTTTACATGATCGCCACTCATAGCTGAGTCGGCAATCGTGAAATTAGATGTAGAGCGGCCACTTGTTCAGAGAATTTAATCGTCATAATATTCGTCATTTTCATAGGCACAAACATTGAAGGATCATAACACCAGACCTGAAATGAGTGCGTCATGCTTACGGCCTCCCCCTACTATTTCCTTTCGGCCTCGCACTGAGCAAACTATCGATCTCATTTACATAGGTAATTCAGTACAGGGGCAGAAAAACAGGATTAGTAACATACCAACGACTATATTCTTGCATTATTTTAAACACGCTCACATACTTTACACATGGCACACGCTATAAGGTTTCTGCAAGCATTCTATAATACTTCCTCAGCCTCTTTTTTTAGGTTATACCGTGTATGAGCTCGCAAGTGAATGTACTTATTCACTCGGTCTTGATCAAGTTCTAAAATGAGATCATAATAGAGCTTGACTCTATACACTTTATTTTAAATAGGTGCAGCCAATAGACATTAATACAGGATATTTTGAAAACGAGTAATAGGGTATTTTGATGAGTAATAATTATCACAAATTTTTTTACTGTTTATTTTTCTCACTTTGATATTTTTGAGGGACTGATAGCAGGTGAAAATTTTAACTCGTCGCCAACTACGCTAAGGGAATCGGACAATTTTATTCTTTGAAGCTTATATCAATTTTATGAATAAAAACCAAATAAGGCTTTCTTCTAATTGAAATTCTACATCGATGAATGTCTCAATATCCTAATTCATTTAAGCGAATTGCAGACTTGCACCTGCAGTATCGTGATGCGGTGCACCGACGCTACAAGACTGACGATAACTGAGGCTCTCATTAACAAGGGTGAGTCTCCAGACATCAACTTACCAACGACCCGTTTTTTCAGGGCAATGAAATTATTTTCCGAGTAACTTCAGGTTTTAATTTTCCAGTTGTTTCGACGATACCTAATGTCAACAAAATCTCAATATGAATGATTAGAAAACCTTCTTGATATTAAAAATATTTAGTCTAAACTTCGTAATATTATTATAAATTGTACAACGGCAACCGTGAATTCTAACTTTGCAGACTTGCACCTGCAGTATCGTGATGCGGTGCACCGACGTTGCAAGACTGACGATCGATAGCTGAGGCTCTCATTAACATGAGTGAGTCTCCAGTTATCAACTTACAAACCACCCGTTTTTTCAGGACATTGAAATTATTTTCCGAGAATTTTGAGGTTTTAATTTTCGAGTTGTTTCGATAATACCTAATGTCACCAAAATAAAATTTGAATGATTAGAAAACCTTACTATTTATTAATATTTATTTTAAACTTCATAATATTACTATAAATTATCCAATGGCAACCATAAATTCGAACTACCGAAAATCTAATTCGCAGAATTGACGAAAATCATTCGAAACTTGTTAACAAGAATTAATCTTTGGCATATTCATCAAAACCTCCATTAAAGGACAACTGTCTGCCTAACCAACAAACATTCGTACACTATAGATATTCTAAATTATTTGGCATAAATTGAGTAATCTTAACTCGTATTTAAATTATAACTCGGTCTTCAAAGTGCTCAACTCGGTCTTTAGAGTACGAGTACAATTCGTTCTTTAAAGTACGAGTACAATTCGTCTCTAAAACATTTGCTCGAGACTTTTTTCCAAAGGAAGTTCAGTATTAGTGGAGCGTAAAACTGAATTATAAGCACAAGTTAATCCTCTCTAGCTTGATGGGCAATGTGGTCGACTCTGTCATAATTACAAAGAAAGTTATTTATTCATAAGGCATGCAAGAAATGCTTGAAATTCAGAGCTCAACTGATATGAATTATAAGGATGGTCTTATTAATTATAAATCCAAATATTCTTGCATCACCGTTAAGAGGCGAGGTTCTGTTCAATGCAACAGAAGGAACGTAAAAATATGCATTTAATTACTTCTCCAGATACCTCCTGAGCTAATATTTTATTTTAGACATGTCAATACGATGATGTCGATATTATTAAAGGTGTCTTGCACTGAAATTAGACATTCAAAGATTTTCAAATAGAAGTCTAAGTTTAGGGAACACAATGGGTATATTCGAATTAACATGCTAGAATTCAGATACCGGTACGAAATGTTACAATAGAAGCTTAGTCTGCGGCATGACAAAATGTTCAATGCTGTTCCACAAAAATCACAATAGTGAATATAAATTCCAGTCAGTGTCATTTTGTGCATTTTGCAACTAATTTTCAAAATACATGCTCGATTTTTTAAACAAAACCAATTCCAGCACAGACAATTTTACTTACCATTGAAAAACAAACTAATGAACTAGGGATGAAAAAATTGGGAATAGAAAAAAAATCTATTTATTGATGTGTACCTGAATTCTGAGTAAAATGTATTACAATTTGAAAAATAAAATTATTAATATCCTCATGTACAGATAAGTATTGCATTTTAAATATTCACTTACCAATACTGGCTGCATTCTTATTGTACTGGCAAGGATGCTACATTGAGCTTCGCTACGGAAATTTGCCACCAAGAAAACTCTTTACAAGAAATTATGTGTAATTAATTACAATATGAAAATTTTGTATGTGTAAGAATTAAAGTATAAAAATTAATTCAAGTGCACAATTATACGAATTATTATTATACAATTAAAAATTATTCATTTTAATCTTGTAGTGATAAATAGTCGGATCGAAAAGTTACACATACCTTTCAACAAGCAGATATCATGCAAGCACGTATAGACGATATACATCAGTTAAGACACAATACGTAGTTAATACATCACAATTGGGCACAATACATCACAATTGGGTACAATACATAACAATGGGTACGATATAAATCAGCGAAGACAATGAAGAGTTAATACACAACATTGTGTGCGATATAAATCAGAGAAGACAATGAAGAGTTAATACATAAAATTGGGTGCGATATAAATCTGCAAAGACAATGAGGAGTAACTACAACACAATTAGGCATAATACATAACATTGGGTACGATATAAATCAGCGAATACAACGAGTATTTATTACAATGGTGACGCTTTAACGCCTTCTGTCCGTTGAAATGAACGAACTGAACTATTAATTTTGCTTAAAATAAATAATTGTTTTAATTCTTCGCAAAATACTCTCAAGAGTCAAGACGCGGCGAACATACCGGTCGAGAAATTAAAAATGATCCGAACATACATATATTTATGATAAAGAGACAACACCGTTTTTTGGAAAATATTTCATATGACTTTCTATATTGTTGGCGCAAATGAAAATTAAGATCAGGTTCACACTGATGACCAGGAAATAATTGCCGAAATTTCGAAAAACTTTTCATGAAATGGATTGTGGATCGACTACACTATAGAGAGAATAGCGGAATCGGTATAAACTACATTTTGTCGGCGTTCCAAATAGTGGAATCTTTTAAATGTATGGGCTTAGCTCGATCAGATACAGATCCACATGGACGAAATAGAATACAAGTACAGAATGAAGGAATAAACCCAATCATAGATGAAAATTATTGAACAAAGTATATCAAACATAACCAATTAAGAACAGTCGATCTGAATGATTATCCAAAGAAAAATTGATTGTGCGCATTCAAATTGTAAGCCTGGGATAATTGAAGAAAAAAATGTAAAGACGAAAGATACTGTCAGCAGATCACGAACAAGCTACCGGCCGATCGTCGGTCACCAAAAAACAAACCTGCTTGATTTTTGTGGCGGCCACTCGCTACTGATCTCTGAATCAGTCAATACCACTTGCAACAAAGCTGCTATCCCGAACCAGAGTAGCGGTCAGTTCAAGCCGTATTTAGTGGCAGCCACGAGTGGCCATGTGCAATCGTACCTTAAAATAACAACAGTATCACAGATAAAAAATCTAAACGGTAATTAAGTAATCTTACGTCGTGAATTAAATACAAGGTTTGGGCGTTGATTAGGCTATGTCGGCCTGTCATAGACACCTAATCACCCGGCAACCTTGCCGATTCCGATGAGAATTTTTACAACCAGTTGCGGCCTTCGAACCAGCACCTCGCTGTTATTTTTGTGACCTTAACCACACGACTACCCACTTAACCACATGGGCCACTCATAAGAAAATTACAACCAAAAATGAACAATTTAAACGGGGATATGAATTCTCGTTTGAAGTAAGCTCAAATGCCAAAACTTTTCTCGAAGATGCTTCTGTAGAGAAAACCCAAATTCCTTCATGACACGCGTGAGGCGAGTGTAAAGAGGCGTTTGGAAACCAGCGTACAACTATCTTCACAACCGAATGATTAAAGCTGCACGAATATACGAGCTCAGTAAGTCTGAACTCAATATTAGGATTGATCAGAATATGCTATCACAGGATAAAAAAAGCAAATTAATTCTAATCATGCAACTTATCTTACGACATTCAAATAATTTACATATTGACGCGGTAATTTTCATTCATATTATTTCTTAAAAGGTCGTTTTTCTTGGCAAGTATATGGCTAAAGACTTGAGTTGTGTCACATAACAAATCCTTAAGAATTTCTCGACTAACCAACAGCTTTCTTTGCTTTTCTTCTTGGTCATAATTTGTCCAAGAATCTTCTTCATTCTTCAAAGATTGAACAACTGCACTGTGAACGATTGAGTTATTTACTAATTTCCGAGAATAAATTATTTTATTAGCTCGCTCAACCTTATGCTCGTTTGATTTCGGGCGATTTAAAACTTGAAAAACTTGCTTTTGAATTATTGTGGTAGGTATAGGATTTTTAAAGTTAAAGTAAGTATAGCGGTACAATTCTTGATAAGCGATAACCATTTCACTGACTAGATCAAAGAGCAAACGTTTGGTTATTCTCTTGCCGTTAAATAGAAAATAATTATCACAACTTAAGCTATTTTTGTACAGTTCAAAACACCGTGAAAAGGAGTCTCTCCCCTCTATTGACAAGAATTGTTTAATTATATTGCACAGGGACTCTTGAGAAATCCATTTTCTCTGATCGTGAACATAGTCGTTTTCTTTGTTGATCGAATTTCTTAAAGCAGGTACTGCGCTAGAAATTGTCTCGCGGCCCTCGCCTTGTAATTCAGCCCGATAGGCAATCTCTTGTCTGGAAGGGTAAGCTTCATCAAACTTCTCATGCAGCAACGTGCTTGGAGCCGATGAGAAAACAATCTGTAAGATGGCATCATATTTCATGTTGAAAAAAATACGAATAAATGTAAATGCTTTCAATCTTCTGTTTTAAAATAATAGTGGAACCTTCCTGTTCTTGAATAAACTTAAATTTGTACATTTTTAATCATTAGCTGTTTCGCCTTACCAAATTAGTTGAAAATTTTTAAGTATATCTATGTTTGATTATTATGCTTTGATAAATGATAATGACTCTTATCATAATCTTTGTTCAAATAAAGACACAGAATTAGGCATAAAAACGATGATAAATGTCTAAATAATAGGATATTGAATGACATAATTAAGTCACGAGTCACAAATCAAATCAAATGGCAATTTCATTCGATGTAATAACCATCTATTACTCTTAATAATTAGATACAATTTTCAATCCAGGCGTCTGTTTTACATACAAACCTAGTTTAATTTAGATTCAGCTGCTATAATACTTACGGGCGAGTAATTTCCGTACGAATATAAAGTAGTCAAGTTGTAGATGCCAAACGCCTCTTCCAGTTCTGTCAATTTAACAATTTTGCATTTATCAGATTTGGATGTGTCAATTTCAGTCAAGTTGAGAAATGTATCCAACACAGTGGCAATAAAATCATTTTTAGCGCATTTTCTCATTTATGGAAAAAAAGGCTATTGTGTTTGTCCGTTTGTCTGTACATGACCACTTTTTTGTAGACGAGAAAATGCGATCTCTGTCTGACTGTCACTCACTGCAGCAAGTACTGACACATTTTTATTCGTTACTATTCTTACCTATGTAAATTTTTTAGTCCTATAAGTAAACTTGCAACTAAGTATCTTGGAAAACATCATCATACCACATTACCACTATTACCAGCATTATAATACACAAAAAATTGGTTAAATCATTAAAATATAGATTAGATTATGAAATTGAAAAGGACATGATTGCAAAAAAAATCTCTAGTTTGCCAGATAAACATTTGATCACGAGTCAAGACAATCGTGGATATGATTAGTCAATTATCCACTGCAATCATCAGGACTCGGGAGCTTGGAGGCCTGCTGATGTGCTGAAGCTTAAACTTTAATAAAAATTTGTCAGCACTCAGCAGTCAGCAGAAATGCTTGGCCACAACTCAACTGGCAACAGTTGATGAAACAATTAGCTTGAATTTTAATAAATTAAACAGTTAAGATGTTAAATTAAACAATCTTATTCATTAGATCTCCAGCTATATTACTTTACAGTACAGTGTACACTAGCAGAGTAGCAGTAGCAGACTAGGCTAGCAGCTAGCTCACCTTCGCATTATTTTCTGTTCCAAACTGAGGTGGTCAAGTCGCTGCCTCTTCCGTTGAGGTTTCAGCTCCATTTTCAGCTCGGAATCTGAAGTTTCATCTTTAATTATATTCGAGAAGCTGACTGTTCGGTTATCTGTACCATCCTTTATCCCAATTATTATAATATCTTAGGCGGCTTTAATCACTGCCTTTAAGAGTTGCTCCACCGCAAACTTCAAATGAGTTGTACTAGTATTATATAGTTCAACCATGGAATGCAGGATCTTTTTCTGGATGAATTCCGCTTTTTATTTTTTTAATTGCATTAGCCGGAAAAAATTTATGATGGCGCGCTTCTTTACTAAATTTCAAAAAGTAAGAAAAAAAAGTAAAATTTAACTTGTGCGCCGGAACATACAAATTTACTAATAAATGTTGAATAATTGGCCCTTTTTGTCCGCGGACTTAGCCTTTTCAGGCCATCGGGCAACCGTGGTGGGTCGTGCTGCACTTAACGTGTTAATTATTATTCGCTTCGTCACATCCTGTTACGTTGATAAAATTTTACATCAGTGAAGCATGTGTCCCATGCGCTTTTATAGAACAGTCTGCTTGATGAATCAAATTTCCAGACTACAAAGAAGTCATGAACGCTTCTTCATTTGGAGACATTTTGTAGCTGCGATGAAGTCTAACAAAATTGTATACAAAGGATTACTAAAATTTCTATAAATGATTACTGCAATTCCTACTACAATTGCTACTACAATATTGGTTCTTTACGAGTGCATGACTTCCAGGTTATAAAAAAAGGGGTCAGAGCTAAGACAAATAAAATCCTCGAACTTTCATTTCACTTTTACGCACAGATGGAACTGGCGACAGAATTGATGAGAAAAAGAATGACTAGCGAAATATCAAGCAATTTTGTTCTGTTTGACGCTGGTAATTGAACATATTTGGTACAATTTAAGTGCTTATATACAAGCCTGATGATGCTCCCTTTAAACTCTAGAGTATGACCCAAGATCTGATGGTTAACTTTTATACATATAAATAGCAAAAAATTACGTTGTCTATTGCTCACAATTAAATTTCTATTTTGTGAAGAATTTTGCCTTCCACTCTTAATGGATCCCAAAAGGATACCAGCTTGAGAAGCAGGATTTCTATACCACTTCGAATCTGCTCTGACAAGTGCCAGTCTGAATTAACCCGCTTCAATTTTGCGGCTTACGCCAATCAATATGCTGATGTATCAGATTTTATCGCAATATAAGGTTACATGTATAATATTTTTTGAAATAATATAGAAACTGGAACGATGTTTCGATCTAGCCTCTACACTTGGCACCAGCTTATAACCGTCAAAAGACCAGCGGATTGGAGATCAGCCTCAACTGCATGATCAACACGAGAGGTTCTAAATTTGCTGCCTCCAATCGCTGTGCCATCGAGGGACCTTAAGAGTGCACACTACGATATTTGCATGGCAGGTGAATCACCGTAGAGCACTCGTACGACCTCTACTGCACTCCACTGCTAGTTTTAGTTGTTTCCAATTTATTTCAGCTCTTGAACAGTTTACGTGTAAGCACTCGTGTAACTTTCAACATGTACTGTGCTTTCAAATGCGGTTCAGAAACAGATGAACGTCAGATTTACGGCGCATAAGAAACAAACGAAAAATTGTTGGATGTAAGGTTCATTTCGCGCTGTCACTTGCACATCCCTTAATTTTGTGCATATCATCAACTTGCGTACGTGAATGGTCAGTGAGAATAACCGATTCCGATTTCAATATTCATCGAGAAATATTATTGGACCGGACAGTAGAATATAACAAATTCAGACTGAAAGTGAGTTGCTATTTGTCTTTCACTACTACTGATGGAATATAAGAAATAAGAACCACCACGATTCGTTTTCGAAAGATCGTATATTGAATCGATACTTCGGGAATTATTTTCTGGCGAACATTCAAAATCGGGATTTTGCAGCAATGCACACCGGTTACTAAAAATTGAAATATAGACCTGGAAGTTAATATTTTTTGCAGGCTGAGTTCACTTCGCAATCATCGCTGAATTTGAGATCACGGCAATAACTGAACAGGATCAGGCACCATGCAGGTCGTCGGCCGCTGTAGACGTTACCGCTCGTCAGGCTGACGCTGCAAGACTGACTCACCGCCGGTGATTACAAGGTTCAGAGGGGAGGAGGACGGGAGGGTTATCAAGGCAGGGGGTCCAAATAATTTGCCTGCAAGTACAACAATAAACAAATGAGCAGTATCACGGCCATGCCATCGATATTTTCTGTTGATTATTATCGGTCGTTGGAAATTTCAAGTTCTACACGGACCGCCCATTGAAGGGAGAATCGTATTTCCAGGAAAATTTATGAACGTCTGTTTGAATCAAATTATTTCAGTGAAGCGAGTATGTTGCTTTAATTTCAAGCCGAATTATCACAATAGGTTTGCGGCAGTTAAATGCGTTCCCGACATGTGTGTTGTAGCCAAAACTGGATTTATATTCCAGTAACTGCAAGTGGATTGGTCGAAATAACGTTCTAAAACTTTTTTTTAGTTAACATGTTTTTAAGATGGTGAATTGTTTGTTGAGTTTCTATGGTATTATGAATTATTCGATTCAATTTACCCTTTTTTGCTAGGTGAATTTTAGAATGCATCTTATTCTGTATGGAAAGAATACAAATAAGTGTTGTAATAATCAACGCGGATTTTATATATTTGGCGAAAAATTCAGATTTCATTTGAGATTTTACCGTGCATAAAAAATATGAGAAATCGGGAGTGTATCCAAACGAAAATGATAACTTAAGGAGCGTTTATAAATGAGCATTAGTTATTGGAACATCCCAGAGTAAAATTATTCTCAATTAGGAAGTCATTTCGGTTTGAACTGAACTCCTTGAATTGCTACCAGTCTATCTTACTGAGGTATTCTTGAGCAATGCTGCCGTGAGCTCAGATTGTTCTACTAGATTTTATAGCGAGTTACACGTGTTAGCCAGTTTAGGTTTGATGGCCATATATGACGTTCGGTGAGAATCATAAACAGCTGACATCAAAAGCCATTCCTCCAACCGATGCTAAACAAGAAAGCTCATTTTTAGAGAGGGAAACTAATAAATATTTCCCCGAACAGCCATACCGAGACGGCGTCTAGAAGTCGAATAGAAAGTTACCTTATATTGAGATCGTTCACGTCGAATAAAAATTCCCGGCAAGTAGCAAATATTGCAGTTGAAGATTCGTCTGGGGCCGCCTCACCCTCCTAGTACGAATTTTTCGTTAGAATATTTGATTTATTTTAAATATTATGGTTTCAAGCACACGGTCAAAACGTACAATTTTTTCCAGTCAGCGTTGTAAAGATTACAAATTAATACATTATTCAATAAGTATTAAAATGAATTATCTAGATAAACAAGAAAAATTTCCAGTTTGTGACCAGGTGTAGTTAGTTGTGAATAATTCGCTTCGTTCGTCAACATCACTCCTTTATTATCACTCCATCCATCACTTTTATTAATCAATATTTTCTAATACTTCCGTTTTTACCGCACGACTCTCTCTCACAGATAACCCAATTCCGTTATTATGTCCGAAATTTAATGGAGCATTTTCATACTAGGGACCTGACTCATCGCTGAAATTAACCTGTCGTTTGAGTTAGTTTACCCTGACAGATGCAGAGGTGTAAACGTAAGTCGAATCGTTTACCTTCTGCCGACAACTGCAAAGGGGGATTACACATTTTCTGAATAAACACATGCAGGAAGGGACTGATAATTTCCAATGAGTTGTCATAGGGAAGCCGTCCTACTGTCAACACAGCCACCAGCGTTGGTGAGGGAGGTGGCTTGGGGTCACCCACGAGCAACTGTGATTCACCAGCACATGACTCACCGCACATGCAGCATCAAATGCGTGGTGGCTACTTTTGCCAGAACCTGCACTCGAGCGTTGCCGTAACCCGCAGAGCAATCGAGTGTCTTGGCTGTCATAATGCATTTTTTGGTAACATGAGATGACAATAATCCAGCAACACAGAAAGCTAAGTGGGATCGAATCGATAAAATCTTGACTGAGATAAATGTTGTGAAGGCTAAGCTGATAAACGTGAATGATTCTTATCGCTCTTACCTCCCGGCGTTACTTTCTGGCCTAGCAACAAGTAACGCTTTCTTGAAAGCCGCTAACGAAACTCACGCAGATAAACTTAGAC